ATTCCTTTAAAAACCTGAGTAACAGATGACTGCGAAGCAAGAGCTTGTGGGTGCATTCCCTGAGGTCGGGGCAAATGTGCATGGGTTATACTCCATATGATTGTCTTCATTCCTGAACACAAAGTAGGGAAAGTGCTTAACATAAACAAACATAGTCAATAAGTATAACTGATCCACTAAGATGAAACGTCAGTATGGCCAAGATTCAATACCCATCACCAGTGTCTTGATCAGATTCTTACAATCATTCACTTCTTTGGAGTGTTCCGCAGGAACCTGCAAATTCAAAACTGCCTGCAACCAGCATGGTCTAGTAATTAATTTTTTCTGCAAGATAAATCTAAGAAATTTTTAATAAAGAAAATAGTGCTTCAGTACAAATAGGCTTTAAATATATATATTACTTCCAAAGTTATAATCCCATTTAGAAAAGAAAAGTAGACTCTCTATTTAAGAGGGTAAGAGAACATTAAAGAACGTTGTGGAACTAACCAAGCTTGAATATAACAGTGGAAGTGTGGAACACGATCTCACATTGGCTGGTAATTTGGGTACTTACTAAGACAAAACAGCCGTCATAGTTAATTACCTGGACAGGAAGTTCAAGCTTCGACCTCAAAGTGATTTGATCCTTTCCATCACCCTCCTCTAAAAGCTATGAAGGAGAAAAGCAAGACTAAGTAACACATCATTGAAATAAAAGAGTTGCCAATCAGAATGGATAAAAGTTCAAGATTTCTCTTCTTCTTTTTTTGCAGCAAAAGTTCAAGATTTCTCAAACAAAATCTAGCAGAAAAAGCATGTAATCTGTTACAGCTAGACATAAATTAAAATAAATGGCATATCAAGCAAAACCTATACAAAGACAATAATAAACAACAAAGCCAAAAAGCTGAAACAACATGGAAACTTGGATAGCAACCAGAATTACCTGAGGAATAGTACGCTTGAAGGTACTGAATTTCCCAACAAAGGCATCCAGGATACGTCCCTATAAACGGATGATGAGTAAAATAAGGTAATGATAGAGCAGCCAAGAAATTCTAATATGAGCTCTCAGGGGTAAAGTTATACCAGCAAAATACGTGCTTCATCCATTGACTGCTGATCAACACCTTTCTCAAATATCGGTTCTACCTGAACCCAAAATAAGTATTAAGTTATAACAAAATCTTGATTCATACATAGTGGACAGATTATGCCACACAAAAGTTAAGTAATATATCAAATTTTCAATAAGGCAAACTAGATGGAATATATAGCTTTACCAGATTTAACATCAATCGCGCACAAGTTGTATGGATGTTAAGAGAGAGGGTCGAGTCATGCATGTTCCTTGAAAATAAGTAGATGATCCGCGATAACTGCCACGTTGTTTACAGTCAAATAAGATGAATTGTACAAGAAAAATCACCCATATTGTAGAAAATGGAGTGGGGAAAAATCTAGAAGAGGGAAGCCTGATGTTGGAAAGAAAAATTGATCCATATGTTGTATTCCTAAGATTATTTGTTTATTGGCATCTTCATCTGTCAGAATATTTTGGGAGGCCTTAGGTTTCATGTCTATAAGCAAGGAACATCTTTCCCAAGCGTGAGCACTTTCTGATCACAATTGATAACTGTTTACTGGGACACATTAGTCTCACTTACTATAGAATCCAATGTCAATGTTTGTCACAGTTTCTAGAACTTAAAACTTTCTCAACTAGGAAGAGCTAATCTAGAAAGAGAGGACTAACAAGTAACAACAAAAACAAAGAGAAGCTAAAGTAAGAAACAAATTGCACAGACACTACGGGAAGCACCTGAGAAAGGGACAAATCTGCTCGAACATGGTGAACAATCTCGGCCAGTAGGCTGTAAGCCAGAGGTCTCAAAGACTCAAAGCATGCTCGCCCCGTTCCAACTAGAACCCTGACACAGAAAAAATAGCAAATAGATGACATAAGTCATTATTTGTTAATATATTACACTGAGGCACGGTGAAACATACAGCACAGTAGAAGGTCTACTTGATAAAACAAAACAGCTTCCTGACAGGTGTAAAAGTTTAAGAATTCAGAAAGGCAAAAAAGGCACATTATACCTCTCTTCCAAAAGAGTGTCAATAAGAGGAAATAAACCTCTCTTGAAATCCGTCCCAAGTACATGCTTTAGTGAAACTAATAGTTCCTGCATTTCATATACCACAAAAAAAATCTTTAACTGCAAGCCCATAAATGTATTACAAGGTGAAAACATGAAGAAAAAGGAACAGACAGTTCTCCACCTTTCTGATAGATGCAGAATCCGAACAGGTGACAAGCAAATTTACAATGCTCTTACATATGCTTTCTTCATGCGGCTTGATATATTCGGCACAACTTTTTAACAAATAAGTCAAAAAGGAAACCGTCTGCAGATAAATCAAAATAAAAAAATAAACAAACACTACAAGTCAATATACCATGATAGGGTCCCTTAAAAAACAAAATAACTAAGTTGAAAGAACAAGGTAGTGTAGGCCTTAATAAAATATTTTTTTCAGGTGTCTCACCTTAACCTGAGCACCCTTCAGTTCGATGAACTGAGGCTTCATATGTGAAGAAACTTTCTCAGGTCCAGGGATAGATATAGCAGCAACCATCAGGGGCAACAAATTAGGAATATTGATCTGAACAAGTCTGCTATACAGCTGAAAAAGAAACATAACGACGAGGGGGCTCTCTGTGACTATTTTGAATGAACGAGTGCTTGGGTTAATCTGCCCATTCCTGGAAGGTGCAGTAATGGACAGCGACTGATCAGATGGTGTAGATACCTCCACAGGTTTCACTTCTTCTATTTTGACATTCTCAAAAAAATGGCTAACCGTCAATCTGAAGTTCTGGTATATCTTGCAGACAAAGTCCAAGAATGGCTGAACCTCATTTTCTAATGTTGGCCTAAAGTTCCTAAGAAGATCAAAGATGATGCGAATGCAAATCAACCCATTTTCTTCATTATCTGTCGTGAGCACCTGCATTGCCACCTTCAGGAGGTCTTGAACAAAAGGACGAAGAACCTCGCTATGTGGTAGACGATTGAGGATCTCAACCACAATGTTGCGTAGTTTGTGCTCAATATTATCAGTGAATTGAGGCTTCGTAATCTGAAGAAGAATAACTGAAGATGCCCGGAAGTAACATTTCAGAAAATTCAAGTACTCAGCCGTATGTGTTATCTCTAGACTGTCCCTGACCTCCACCACCATCGCAAGCCTCTCCTGAATAGCTGCAGAGCACAAAAACAAGCTTCGAGTCTCAAAATCAAACAGAAGAAAAGATCAAAGAGTAAAAATTTGCTGACAAAATCAAAGCTCGAAATATTTTCCAAATCCAAAATCAAAGCTTCTTAAACTAATTATCAGCAAACAAACAAACAACCCAACCACGAAATCAAGAGAAAGAGCAGAGAGTGAGTGGGATTACGTAGGTCAGGCTCCACGAGACGACGAGAGTGTTGCTCAAAATTCTGAATTGGACTCATGGCTAAACAAAAAAAAAAGCAAACCCAGACAAGCGAAAAAGCTGTCTTAGGGTTCCGTCACAGTAGAAATTGTATACGTCGCTTCCTCCTCCTCCTTTCTAACACCCAAAACGCGACGATCCCTAACGCTAAGGCCAAGGTGCTCCACTAGGTCAGACACTAACAAGGGTTTATCAAATTAAGCTAATTTAATAGAGCTTTCGATTCTCTGGTATACGACCTCGAGGTTAACGATGGAAGATGATGAATTTTCCCTCTCGTTTTTTTTTTTTGTGGGTCTCTCTGTGAGACTCCCCTGAAAAGAGAGAGAGAGAGGGAGGAGAACCTTGAGAACTCGAGCGTAGCAGTGCAACGAAATTGCGCAGCCGAGTTATTTATTTATATAAAAGTCCAATTGTTCCCTCAAATTTCAGAAATGCAACGAAAATAAATAATCTTATGGTTAAGGAAAACTAATCTTTTTGTTATAACTAAGGGAAATTGTACTTTGCCTTTTCCCGTTTCCGAAAACGTTTCGCTTCCACGTTTCCGTTTCCGTTTCTATGTAACATAGGTCTTAATACAACACAAAAAATACTAACACAAACTAGTAGTATATATTAAGTTGTTTTCGTTTTCTTAATCATCAAACTTTATATATATATATATATATATATATATAGATGATGAAATGATTTTTTTTTTCGTCAGATGATGAAATGATTTATTTTTATTTTTTCAACAACTTTAAATTGATTAGTTCAAATGAGCCAACAATGAGAAATATTGTTTATATAGATAATATATATATATATATATATATATATATAGATGATGAAATGAATCAATGTTTGAAAAAGAGATATGATCGAACAAGTTTAAAAATGGGATGAAAACTTACATTTAAAAAAAAAAAAAAAAAAAAAGAGAAAGAAATCTTTCACACCGTTTTGGAAACCAATTGGATGATATTTCCGTCTATTCAACCATATAATTTGTTATGAACTTAATTTAGACATTTATATGGTCATTCTATTTATTTTAGGTTGATTTTTTCCCATTTTTATTGAATACTTCAGTTTATCTCAATTCCACTTTTATACTCCATTGACTAATGAGTCAAACCCATTATATTCCCGTAACTTTTTTGCCAACCATAACTTTGGTTTTGTAGAAAAATAACCATGAAACCATATAAAATATTCGGGTTTCCGGACCAGAAAGAATGTACGGTTATAGATCCAAAAAAATTCGTTATTAATAAAACAAAAGAAAAAAAACCACAAAACTTATAAAAACTAATATTATTTTGAACAATAATTTATGGTATATTAATCATTATTTGTTAGGCTAGAACAATTGGAAACATAGTGGCCAAAAATAATCGGTCAAAGGTGAATATTTTTTTGTATAATAACGAAATTAAAAGAGCTCGACTCAGTTTGTTACTTTTTTTTTTTTGGGGCAAAAGTTTATTACCTATACTATAGTATTTGTTTGAAAAGAGTATACTAATCAAAGAATTTTTTTATAGTATTTGTTTGAAAAGAGTACACTAATCACAAAGATATGTTTCTTTAAAAGTAAAACATCAAATATTAAGTTCGTATCCATACCAAAAAAAAAAAAAAAAATTAAGTTCGTATTACAAAAGGAATAAAAATCGAAAACAAATTCTCAGACGTTGTCGGATCTAGTAGCCTTGGGTCTATAAGACCTGTTAGGAGTATGCCGTGACTTTTCTCTTCGTTGGCCCGATGATGACCACTCTCGACTCTCAGAACGATAATCTCTCGACCTACGATCCTTGCTTCCTTCTCCATGTGCAGTTCGATAGTTGTGATTACTACCATTTTGGTCGTTGCTGGATCTTGAAGAGCTAATGGCCGCAGCAGCAGGAGTACTCTGCGTGGTCTGCTCGTACGGCAACGGCTTAATCCCTTGTAAATCAGGTTCCGGGGTGAATCCTACTGGTCTTTTCGACTCGTCCATTTTCCTAAACGTGATTGATATCCTGAAAGCAGAACCAAGGATAGCAAAAACAGTATGAACAAAACGAGATAAAACCAGAGTGTGAAAAACCGATAAATTGGGTTTCGATTGTTACAAACACCAATTTCTATACATGTTAGAAAAAGTTTCACATTTGTTTAAAATAAACCATTTTTCATTTTGGTACATAATATTTTGCAAAGTGTAACTGTAAACTCAAAACACCAAATCCTTTTGTGAAAAGAGAGAGTTATGGTTTCATTACCAAAAAAAGTACATACTAAACATAGAAATAAACGTTGACAAACAATCAAGGTCCTAACAAATTACCTCTTTGTGGGAACCGCAGGTACACAATGCTTAGCGACATCAGCTCCATTCCCCTTTAGCACTAGAACTGATCTGAAGGAAAAAAAGGTGAAAAAATCGTCGAAAAGTTAAGCAGCGGAAACTTCAGTAGAAAAAAACTCAGAGAGAGTATGCAAAACCTATAGTGCTTTACCCGACAGGAAGCGGCATAGAGTATGGACCGGAGAATTCACCAGGTCCTACGACTTTGAGATTTGATCCGAAGAGTATATTGCACTCACTAAGGAATGATACTGTGCAGAAAGGGCGGACGAAGTCATGGTTATCGATATGAGGAGGTATGCAATCGCCTTCATCATAGATATTGACGATACAACTATCTGGGATACAAGTTGGAGGAAGTACATGCCACCCAACCAACCTTTTGATTATTACTTTGAAAAGAGACGGTATTGGATCAACCGCTTCGCGTTGAAGGATTCCGGGTGGGTTTCCCGCTTTGTCCTACCAAAAAACAAACCAAAATAAAACTCGTTCCATATTCACTTGAGTTAATAAAATGTTAAAAAAACAAAGATGAGGAAAGAGTCACTTACTGGTGCATAGTTATAACAACATCCGAATTGGATAGTAACTCGTCCTTTGCCTCTCATCCACTTATGCGGAGCGGTAAAAGTACGGTCTAGATATCGAAAAAGAACCAAAGTCAAAATTAGATAAGTAACGGCACAGTTTTCAAATTCGCATTATGCAAAAAGCAATGAGGAAAACAGGAAACGAACCTCGCAATTCTCCTCTTTGACCCTTCTCTTGTAGTTCATAGACGAAATCAACAATCTTTTTCTGCTCCACCGCGCTAAAAACACCAGTATGCAACTCAAGTCCCTCGAGAATATTAACAGACCTCCCTCTAACTTTCTCAAAACAAGAAAACACTTTCATTTTCTTCACATTCATAAATCGATAACGCTCTCTTTCTTCCCTAGACAATTTACGCTTCTGGGGAGTCTTCATCGAGTCTCCAGCTAAAGAACTCACATCAACGCCCTGTGAACCTAATCCACTATCTTTTTGTTCTTCCTCCTCCAATCCATCTTCATCTCCCATATCAGCCCAAGAAATTCTTGGACTCGCCGCCTCAGAACCCCCAGCTTTCAAACTATCTAATGAGTGAGAATCACAAAACTTCCCGTCATAAATATTGTCCATCTTATTATCAAAATCTTCAGATTCCATGTTCTCCACCATTGAACCCGAAGCCGCTTTATCTTCTCCATTAACCTTCTCTATGTTAATGCAACGCTCTGTAATAATAAGGAAACACAATTACACATAAGGTAAGAACAAATACAAAAATCTACAAATAAGGTAAGAACAAATACAAAAATCTCAAGAAGATAGCTTGATTACATAGAATATTCTATAAGCAGTATCTCTAATCATCACAAATCTACGAATTAGTTCAGAAATTATGGTAAGTAATCAACTTTAATGATTAAATTAGATTCAATAGAACAATAACTAGAGAAAATTTTCGAAACAGAACACACAACGTTAGTAACCAAGAAAATTCTCCGTTTCTTCAATCGAATTATGGAAAAAGAACCAGAATTTTCCGGTTAAACAGAACAGAGAGGGAAAAAAATCAAACCTGGGTCTAGAGAACGGATTCGATCGGAGAGAACATGAACACAGTCGTTGCAGAGATCTCTAGATAAGAAAGGCAACCAAGTCGTAAGAAATTCAGAAGCAATCTTAAGTTCCGATGGCTGATACTTGCCGAGGAAAACATCTTCTTCGTAGTTTGGTTCCATTCTTCTAACACACAACCAAATCTCTCTGTTTCCGTATTTTAGTTTCAGTTTGTACGGATTGAACAACTTTTCTGAGTTCGTTTACTTTGCTCTATTGAGTCTTCTCATTGATGACGCCATCTAATGAAAATTTAGGTCGGATTGGTTATTAATATTTACTACTGCACAACACGCCGACAAAAGTTCTGGTCCGTGAAGCCCATGAATTAAAAAGCCCACGTAAGTTTCCTTTTAACCCGGAAAGAAAAATTGGATACCCGACCCGATCTATCTCTCCCGCCAGTGGGTTTATGATAGTGGAAACAGAGGAAGAACTTAGAATTCATCAGCTTTATCTAGTTCGTTAGATTTCAATCATCAATGGCTCTCAATCTCCGCCAAAAACAGACTGGTAATTTTTCTATCTTCAAGTCTATATAGTTTCTCTCTGTAGATGAATGTGGTGACAAAACCCTAGATTTTTGTTGTTAGTTGATTTTTTTTTTCTTTGATCGGTTTGATTTCAGAATGTTTAACTCGGATGTTGAATCCAAGCGGCAACGCGAGCAAAGAAGTTTCTTACAAGATATTGATCTACGACGAGTTCTGCAAGAACATTCTCGCTCCTTTGTTCCATGTCAAGGACCTTCTTAAGCAGAGAGTTACACTTCGTCTTCTCATCGATAAAGACCGAAAGGTTGATAAAGACCAAATCGATATTGATCTATCAGATTCTTTTCTATTTTTTCAGATTTGAAATTGTGGTAAACTATCTGTAGAACATGGCTATGAATAAAGCAAGCATAGTTGATCTGCTTTTGCCTGCTCACTTGCTAAACTCCTTGTCCCTGCTCACTTGATATGATATGAGTAAGAGTTTGCAAAGCATATATATTTCATTTAGGTTAGACAATGATCCACTTTCAAGATCACATAATTCAACTTTTTTCAACCTGAACTGTTTCAAGTGCAACTCTGGAGGCATACTTGCAATTTGCAAAGAAAAAGATCATGCTTCAAGAATGTCAAACTTGGATACCGGAATATGTTTTTGATTTTGAAAGAAGTTGTGTATATTCTCTTCTTCTCTGTTGGGGGACAAATTATTAAAACCAACTATCTATTGGTCGTCTTATCAATCAGTGGAAAAAACAAGCAGAGAGGATTAAATTCTTCCACCATGGTCACATTCACATCGACAGGTATTGCATCCTGTGTACTATATGTCATAAATCATTTCTCTCCTGTGGTCATTTTCATTCACAGAACATGAGTATCCACAAATATTAGGCATTTACAAACAAGAAACACCTAGAAATGACTTCTTTAGTCTCTCTAAATCTAGAAGAGAAAACACATACACTTCTCCTACAAATGGGGGAACTAGAATACAGATTGTGACACTGACAGTTATCAGAGAGTGGCTTCTTTGCTTTGCCAAAAACTCACATAAAAACTGCAAAGAGTAGTAATCAGTTTGAAAGACAGAAGACAATGCTTTACTCTGGTGGCCTTAGAACATGGTGGTGGGAGAGAAAAACTTCTCTCATCATAAGTTATCCAAAATCAAATTTTGTGGCTCTGATTTCATTGGAGGAATCTTTGTCAGCTTGTGGTGCTGAGTTGTTGTTGCCACATGGAATAGTCATATTTTTTGCAGACATGGATCCTACAGAGTTTAGGGGATATGAGCAACTCTTTTGTGACTCTCTCTTTAGTTCTACTTCTGTGGATTTATCAGACATTTTTAAAATCTTATTATCTTAAAGTTTATTTCTTGTATTGGTGGTTGAGGTATTATGCACATGTATATTATGTATATAAAAAATATTTTATCTTTTTAAAGCGGTCCCTTTTAGACTATGTACAATGGTTGATTTATTCAACACCTTCTTTTTTACCTTTTAACACTCCACATCATCTTCTCTCTCTTCCACCTAATAATTCAACATTCATTTCAATTTTAACTTTTACAGTAGTTTTGTTTAATAAAATTCAACACTCTACCCTACTCTTTTATTTTATATTATTTTCTTATTTTTGATTTTTGTTTTATGATTATATACCAATAACAATTGAAATAAAATAGTTAAGAGTTAATAATTTTTTAATTTTTCTTTTAAATTCTTAAAAAAATAATCAAAGTAAAATTAAAGAAGAAGAACATATAGATTTTCATTATGAATAGTGGGACTTGGATTGGATAATATTGTCCGAAGTGCAAATAGTAAACTCGGACTCGGATTGGATAGGATTGTGCGTTTAAAAGAGTAATTAGAAGTATTTTGGATGTTAAATGGATTATTGTTGGGATCAATTTCACAAAAAAATGATTTTTTTTTCTTTGTCCAAATCAAATGAAATAAGTCTCTATTTATAGAGTATAAAAAATAATGAATTTTGATATAAATAAAAATAAAAAAGTAATTTATTTACTATAAGATAATTTATCTTAAATATTTTGGTAGAAAGAAAAAACCAAAAATCTTTAACAGCCAATAAAACAATAGCAATTAGCAAATACATTAATTTATATTTTAATTCAAAAGTAATTTTTTTTACCAATTAAAAGGCGCCATGTATACATGTTAATATTCTCTTTTACAGATTCAACATGTTGAAAGAATTCAACACCAATTAATCCACATCAGCATTTTTCTTTTTTCAACAAACCATTGTAATGATTCAACAGTTTAATAAAAAAATTAAACACACCATTGTAAGTAGTCTTAGAGGTATTGTATTGGAAACTGAATTTGTAGGAATATTTTTGGAAAAAAACTCCCTTTCATAAAATCTTATTTCTGATATTTTATGCATTTTGTTTGTTATGAGCTGTCTTTTTGGTATTGGAATGGAAACTGAATTTCTATAAAAATTAAGGAAACTACGAGTTAATATTCTTTTATGCATTTTTGTCGTTAGGAGCTGTCCCTTTTATAGTTTTTAAATTGGAAATTGAATTTGTAAGGAAGTTGGGAAAAACTCTTTAAAAAAAATAATCTTAGTTCTAATATTCTTTTATGCATTTTGTCGTTAGGGGCTGTCCCTTTTAAGTTTTTGAAAATGGAAATTAAATACGTAGGGAAATTGGGGAAAAATACTCTTTCAAAATAAATCTTAATATTCGATATTTTTATGCTTTTTGTCGGTAAAGGAACTGTCTCTTTTGTATAATTTGGAGAAAATCTGAGGAAAAATCTTAATTTCTATAACTGAAAGCCTGATTGGTGACTATGCATGGCTTGTAAAGAAATACATCACATCATACCTACCTTGCAAAATCAACCTAGCTCTTTTGTACTATAGTGTAATTGTAAAGGTTTGAGTGTATTATTTTTGTTGTAGACATGTAATTGTCTAAGGTATCCAAAAATATGATATTAGTAGTTTCCAGAACATAAATTTCACTTTAATTAGTTTAGACAAGGCTCCAAGTTCAAGATCACACATAATTCAACTTTTCGGCATAACTGTTTCAATTGAAAATAAGTGTCAAGGTTAGGAATATAAAGACAAAATGATACTAATATGTTTATAATTTATCAAATAATAGCTAGAAATTCTAAACGCAATAAAAAATTTATACGAAAAAATAATTAAATAGTCATTTTTGTTTTTGTGAATGTCACCCACACAGTGTAAACTATACATGCATCTTGAACATACAAAAACATCACAAAAATATGTCTTAATTTAGATATCAGAAGTAAAAATTCACATATCATAGTTTCACAATATAGTTTAATAAACTTTTTTGTTTCAAATAAAACGAATATTACCCATATCAATACTCTATAGGAACATGGAGTCCCTATATTCGAATAGGTATATCAAAACAATAATTTGTGTGGAAAAGTTGGTTATAGTTATGAGGATGATGAATTTGGGGATGTGGGGTAATGAAGAGTGTGAGCTGAGGGATCATGTCTACAAGTTATAACCACAACAGAAGCGCCAATTCAGGACAGCCAAGTGTTGTTCCTTTCACTTCCACCTGATTCTCTCACTGTCTTTTGTCCCTACACACACCATCTCTTATTTTTGTTCTGTTTTCTTCAAATTCTCTTATTTATAAATACGACAAAATCCCACCATCTTCCACGTTTCGGGTTTTAGTTTTTACTTTTCTCCTCTCTTCCCTTTTCAAAAAACAGTGTCATTTTTATCGTTTTTCATATACTCTTTGAGAAGATACAAATTCAATTATATCCCCCGCCCCTATTAAATGTAATTAACGGTTGAAGCTAAACTCTTAATCTTTTTTTTCTTCTTTGTCGACCAAAAAATCTTCTTTCTTATTTCTTTCTATTTGTCGTTTAGATCTTGAAATCTTTAAAACAAAAAACAAATCTTAAAACGTTACTTTAATTAAAAATTAAATGTAAGCAAATTACTCTTATAACAATCTTGGCTTTTAGCTGGCATTTTCTTGATTATAGAACCCTAAGGATGTCACAGATGATGTTTTGATTGTTCATACCATACGTCATTCAGCGTGCTTTTTATTTTTTGGGCAAACGTCATTCAGATGCTTTAGATTTTTAAAATAGATGTTTTTCTTTTTCATAATCTGGTTCGAAACTCGACTACTCCGGAAATTATCAATCTCATTAGATACAAACAGACCATGTTAAATATACGACTAATACGAGTTGAATTGTTCATAACCAAGTCATGGCCGAACAGCAAATAAGCGTTTCATCAAGAGGGAATTCAATTGATGGGAGAACAAATTACGGCTTGTTTTAAGAGAATTACCACCAGATCACCATTGTTAGGTTCAAAATAGATGTTTGATTACAATTATATAACCAATGAAACTTCTTAGAAAATCTGAATTCACCTGATTAAATAAAATTATTGATTAGACAAAGGATAGTATTGTAGAAACAGCCAAAAAGTCCTTTTCAACCACACTTAAAAAATTTCTTTTTTGGCTATCAAGTTATACACGATATGGTGTTTTTTTTTTTTTTGCCAATACACGATATGGTGTTTCTACCACGGAAAATTTGCAATTAATTCGATTGGAATTATCACAAAGCCAAAGGTGAAAATCTTTGATGATGTTGATTGTTTCATCACTTTAAAATGATAGGCAAAAAGAGAAAAAGAAAAGAAAAATAAGAAGTTGAATATAAATGGAAAGAAGTACGTGGAACACAAGGCATCGGAGGAATGAAATGGGAACTTGCATGGATTTGATACTATCAATTAAACAAAAGATTAGGTTCCAACCTAAGCATTTGTTTTCATTTTCAAATTTTCACATGGGGACGATCTACTATACTGCTTAATTAGCTATATATTTTCCCATATATTTATTATAAACATATTTTTCATTGTAAAAATCAATACATATTATATATATGTACGAAATACTATTAGATCATTATACTTATAGTTAACAAATTAGTTAATTCATCAAATTGTCATGTGTTAATCTTCTGTACATGATATGAATGGTTTGTAAGTTATAACTCTTGGACTGAATTCTCAAATGATCCCAAAAATGTTTGTAGTTGCACAATTAACGTTCACTTTCTATCAAATTCAGATGATTTTCCGAATGACACTTATAAGCTATATTTTTGTCGGTGACTAACATAATTTTAAGTTCAGCTTGGTCAGTAGATATAAATTTCCTATGAACCTCGTAATAAACAGTATGTCCTCAATGAATTTGGTTAACCAATAAAATATAAACCACCAAACTGCAGTAATCATCATTAGTGTGTTATTTTGTACATCTTAATTTATAGATAAAAAAAAAAAAAAGAATGGGCATTAAAGTGATGGCAACTCTACTTGTA